CCAGAATATTTCGTAAATGGAATGAGTTAAATTGCACCAAGTTTAATTCTTTTCTACTGATCGACTAAAAAGTTCACTACAACCTTAACCTGTTCAGGGTTAGGGTTTCAAAATGCAGGGTTAGGGTTATCAAATTGCCTCCCCGAACCTCAACCTCGAAGGCCTTGTAAAGAATGACCATTACCTTGGCTTTCGATATTTTTAAACAATCGTAATTTATTTTAGAATGTGCTGGCAGGAATTTTATCGAACGGAGTTCAAATTCCGGTCGAGTTCGTTATGTTTAGTTTCTAACAGATACTCTCGGGATAGGTATAAATTCATCTTTTCATTCCCCAGTTGAGTCTTATGTTGCGATTTAATTGGTTTCTCTTGCCAAAGATGGAGACAGACTGAAATGGATATGAATAGAACGATGTTTATATATATATATATATATATATATATATATATATATATATATATATATATATATATATATATATATATATATAGATAGATAGATAGATAGATAGATAGATAGATAGATAGATGCATACATACATACATTACAATTCAAAAGTTCGAGGAAATCCTTGGTAATTTCTAAAATTAACTGAGAATGTATTTGTTATGTATTTTAAATAAGAGAAAATTACTATAAATGGTTAAAAAGTGGGACATAATGTTTTATTAGAAATTGTATTATGATAAAAAGACAGAAAAGCATTTTGTGATTAAATTTTGCTCCCGTCAAAATATCCTTCGTTAACCTTGATTACTGCAGCACAATTTTTTGGAATTTGTTGCAAATGTTTCTCAAAGTATAAGTTTGATAATTGATTCCATACTATTTTCAATGACTTTATGAACTCTTTTTCATTTTTATTTCAGTCTTCTATGAAATTCTTCACATGCTAATTTTGGAGGTAGCTTTAAACTTTTGGATTGTAGTCTATATACTTAATGAAGGGACATATATATATATATATATATATAGATAGATAGATAGATTGTTTTCTACTGATCAACTAAAAATAATACTTTTCAGTTAGTTACTTAATTTCTTTTATTCTGTTTTTATAAGTTGTCTCTCGTAATGAAAGAATGCCTAGAGAATTTAACACTCACAGGGCATACTAAATTCAACAGAAGCAGAAGGAAATAGTAGTCTACTGAATTGGTTTGTGCGGCAACCTTACTGTTCATTGTGTGTGATTGTTTTCTCCTCGACTACTTACGTAATATCTAACATCCTCCATGGCAATTAATGCAGGGCAAATTCTTTACAGACAAAGTGACATATAGCGACGGAGATGAAAATCCACCGACAACTACTAAGTTCTTTTCGAGAAACATAACAAAGGAAGAGGGTTTGGAAAAGTTAACACGCACAAGGTATACTGAAGTCAAAGGAAGTAATGGAAACAGTGATAAAACAACGCTTTTTTGTGAAGGAATAGAGGAACACGGTCAAACGAGACAGTAATCTAAAATACTTCGAACAACAGATCAGTGGAAGCTGTGGAGGGTCATAATCTGCCACATTCTGAAAGGATTTGCCATATAAAAAGTGCTGGGATTTGATATACAGTGTAACCCGGATATAAGAGAAACCCGGATATAAGAGAGATTTTATCTGGTCCCAAATTAGAGCCTGTGTATATGAAATAGACCAAACCCGGATATATGAGAAACCCGGATATAAGAGACTTCTCCGGTCCCGACGACTCTCTTATATCCGGGTTACACTGTACAGTGTAACCTGGATATAAGAGACCCGGATATAAGACAAACTCGGATATAAGAGAGATTTTCCCTGGTCCCAAATTAGAGCCTGTGTTAATGTATATAAAATAGACTAAACCCGGATATAAGAGAAACCCGGATATAAGAGACTTCTTCTCCGGTCCCAACGACTCTCTTATATCCGGGTTACACTGTAATTATATAATCTCTCATAATACTCATTATTCCTCATGTCATATGCCACTAACTACTCACGCTCTCTCTTCACCATCAACAATTATGTTATGATATTTGGTAATGGAACAAAGTAAAAATGCAATTCGGTTCAAACTCAGCTGATTCTATTTTCCATTCTGGGAATCGTGACGCCATCCCTATGCATAACCGCTAAGAAGCGTTAATATTTGGATCCTTCAAACAAAGTCTTGATATTCATATCTTCTTTCATTCTCATAAAGTTTGATCCTCTGGAACGTTAACATCTCTCATTTCATACAGTTTCGATGTTTGATAAAATTAAGTCTGGTAACAAACAAGACAAAAGACATGCACCTCAACAGGTTACATAAAGGTCGGAATTTGATATTAGAGAAAGAAAAATATGTCGGAGATGGAATGAATGCAATGGAGAACGCTTCCACAGCGAAAGAGAACAACTGGAAATACACAGAAATGTCGACGGACTGGAAATATTAAAATCTGAAGTAGAATATTTACTGGCCAAATTGAACAGTGATAAAGCGGCAGGGCCAGTCGGAATTGTAATAGAGAT